CCCCCCCCCCCCCCGCCCCACGTTGGACCCAGAAACCGACGTGCGCGCGCGCTCCTCCCCTCCTCCTTTATCTTTTTTTACCTCAGCTCACAGAGGGTAGTAAAGTATAAACCTCACGCCCATCCCATCGCCGCTGTCTCGGAAAGAACACACACCAAAAAAAAAGAAGAAACGCCAAAATGATACATCATGGGAAAAAAAACCCAAAAGAAGAGACGCGGTGTGATGTAGATGAATACCCGACCGGTGGAAATTTGGAACCCATTACTCATTACTCAAGCGGGGCCTGTTGCGCTTTCAAAGGGAAGAAGGAAGAAGGCCCGTCAGGAAACAGCTTATGCCAGGTAACCGAGCTCATCGCCCTCTAGACGCTCCAGGTACTCCTTCTCCAGCAGAATGTCTATACACTTCTTGATGTCGGGAACGCGCGGCATGAAGCGGTTCTTGATCTGCTGGATCGTCTCCGACACGAGTTGCTGGTGCTTCATCTTCTTTCGCGACTTCATGATGCGCACAATGGCCGACTGGCATTTTGTTAGTAAAGCCATTCAATGATCGAAGAAGAAGAGAAAAAAAAGTACGTACCTGAATGAGAAGCTTGCGATCCTCTTCAATCGTCTTGTGTGTGTCCTCTGCTTCGGCCTTTTGTTCAGACTTGATACCAATGTTCAAATTCATCTTCACCTTCTTGGTCTTGAAGCCAGTGTTGAGCTTGTACACAGTGCCCGACTCGTGCTTAGCATTCTCGGGCTGAGTGAGAAGGACCTTGGCCTTGATAAAGACACCTAAGCTAGGATCGAGAGTCTCCTTGTTCAGCTTGGTCGCTTCGGCAATCTCGTCGTATGTGACCGTGTCACTGTCATTGAACAGTAGCATAATAGCCATCTGATATGTTGAGACCTGGAAGGTTGGTGAAGTCTTCAAGTTTGCAACCTTGCAGTAATTGGCCTTGACCTCACCCTTGCACAGCTGCCACAGCCATGTCAGCTTACGGCCCTGGTGCTTGTGGTTGTAGAAGCGCGAGAAACGGTCATACGTCTGGACGATGAGTTGCGGGGGAGTGAATGGAGTTGTGGGTGGGTTCAACGGCCAGAAACCGGTGCCAAGAATATGGTATGATGCATCTACGTTGGTCTTGATGTCAGCCTCGTCCAAGTTGTTTGCCTGCCATTCCTTAAATGCAGTGTTCAAGTCCTTGGAGATTTGCATATCCTGGAACATGCGCTGGAGCTTGTTGGTGTACTCAAAACCACAAGCCTCCTTCAACTTTGAAATCATGCTGGTCTCAGCATCATCCGACGCAGATGTGGTCTGGACCAAGCGCTTGGCCAACATGCGCGAGTAAAACTTCTGGAACACGTCCTTGTCTTCAATGTACTTGAAGACAGTCATGATTTGTGTCAGTAGCTTCTCCATGTCGTCCTCTTCGCTCATCTTGGTGTTGGAGCGCTTCAGCAGCGTGTCAGTGTACTTTGCGAGGAGTTCCGGCGACTTGTTGGAGCCCGACTTGCAAATCTTGTTTCGGTTGACGAACTCACGACAAGCGTTGTCCAGCGATCGAACAAACTCAGATTCGCCGTTGAAGGCCTTGTTAACGAGCGCCTGGTACTGCGTGTGGACTTCAAGGAGCGCCTCGACGTACACCTTGGGCTCAATGTTCTCGCCATCCTGCGCAATCTTGTCGACTGCAGCCAGACCAGCCTTCCTGACGTGGTTCTCGAACCGTAGACGCAGAGGGTCAAGACCTTCGGGAATGCGGGCCAGCAGCTTGTACATGCGGCCCAGGTCCTCTTCCTTGTCGTGATCGAGGAGAATTTGAAACTCCTCGCGAAGGGCTTGCGAGTGGTTCGTGATGAGCGACTGTTCGCATGTCCGCATCAACGGAGACATGATCTCGTTGAGCAGGTATAGCGGAACGCGCTCCTTCTCCTCTTCCAGACGAATCTCGGCCTTCTTCATGTATTCCACGACACTGTTCTCGGCAAGGAACTGCTTGGACTCGTTGTCGTAGTATTCGGCCGTTGCCTGCAGGAAAGGCTTCTCAAAGTACTCTTTATACACATCGAGCGTCGACTTGGAGCTGTCCGCCTCGTCCAGACCCAGGGAAACGAATGAATCCACCACCGACTTGATCTGCGATTGTTCTATCGTCTCGCCGTTTCGCTGCTTCTCAACCAGCTTGAGCACTGACCGCATGACGCTCTCTTGACTGCCCGTGAACATGTCCTCCTTCCAGCGCACCAAGTGTAATGTGTAGATGTCGTAGATGTTCTTCTTGCCCTCGTCCATCTCACGCTTGACCCAATGGCGGTTCAGATAGCGGAACAAATGGTTGTTGTACTGGCCAGCCGTCGTGTACCGGTTCCACTCCTTGATGTAAAAATGGAGGAGCGCTTCGTCGACATGTTGCCGTGAGGCTGCCTGTACTTCTGCAAGGTGCGTCTTGAGGTATTCGATCAGGTGTTGGTAGAGGTCCTCTCCGAGAAGATGGGCTCCTCCGCGGTTGTTTGCGGCTTGGAACGACGAGCCTGCCACAGCCTTCTGGGCGGTGCAAAAGTTGTGAATCGCCGTGTAGAGACCCATATATGTCTTCATGTCGACGCCCTCGCGCAGGTTGGTCATGATCTTGTCAACGCCGGCTTCGAGATACTTCCACCTGTGAATCATCAGTAAATGGTGCTATGCTGGCTATGACGTAAACATCAGAGTGGCCTCGAAATGGCCCGTATTCGAAAGCCGTCGTCGGGCCATTGTTACAAAGGCGAAATGCATGTTTCGAGATTCGGACATGGCGGGGCAAGCCTGGGCGTGAGCGATGTCGCTACACGATACCCGGGCTTCACCGCGCAGGGCTGCAAATCCGCTCACAAGGGCGTGGTCGGGGGCGTAGAGGCTACTTACGTGGCGTTTACATCGTCCTTTGCGGGGACGGGCGGCATAGAGGAGGCCATGTTGGGGTGTAACGTCGCGTGCTCGGGAGCACTTTTCGGAGGCGACTTCTTGCGCGTGAGGAGCTTCTTAATGGTCGGGGCCGCTGTGTCGCAGACAAGCGTACGAGATGGCGGATGGCTACGAAGGCGGGGGTCGTCGAGACTTTTGGCACAGTGCAAGTGACTGAAGGTGGAAAAGGCAGGCCCGTGGGGAGCGGGTGGAGTGGAGGGGACGTATGGGCGCCGGTGGGGAGAGTCCAAATGGTACCGAGCGGATGGTTTCCTGTCGTTGGCGGGGTGAACAGGCACTCTCCGTCAAGGTGGAGTGCGGCGGAGGAAGAAAGGTGGAAAAAACGAAGGTGCCAGAGTGGACGAGGCGGCGACGTTTTGAGAGTGACTTCGCCGTGCTTGAGTTGTTCAGGCAGCACCGAGCTAGCTGGACAGGCTTGGCGTTGGCGCTGGCAAGGGTCCGCTCTCGCTGCCTACGCCTAACCTAACCTTCACTGAGCGCAAAAGCACCGGCGTCCCATGTCTGCATGGCTAATTGCGCCACTTTGGGCTAACCTTCACTCACTCGCGCATCATTCACTCGCGCATGTGCAGAGTATGCTGAGAGGGAGGCGTGAATAGGATGGCGGATGACAAATGTGGCTCAGCACAATGTCGTCCTGGCACTGCCTCTACAGTACCGTGGTACAGCATGCTTCTGTCAATATCAGCGGTGAAGACGCTGCAAAGCTGCTGTGATTATGAATTCAAAGACTGCCGCTGCATTCTGTCAAACCACCACCCCGCACGAGTAAAGCAACTCAAGTGGGTGGCGAGAATCTGCAAAGAAACACGGACCAATGTCGTGCTGCCTAGGCACTTGTGAAGTTCGAGGGTTGAATGAATCAGTATGCTAGACGTCTTGTCAACTCTGCCAGTGTCGGATGACGTATCCGCACAATCACAAACAACCACAACCGCCATGTCATCTCACGAACAAGGCATATCCCTAAACACCACCCACCACGCCTAAACTCTGCAATCCCAGCCTACGCGGGTGTTCTTCTATGGTTGAACGATAATAAAAACATATATTACATTCCCGGATTTCTAGGCAGAATAGGAAAACATGCCATCGCTGGCCGTCACACCCCTCTCTGCCCTGCGCCTAAGCACACACTTGATACCCAGCCATGCCCTCCTCCCCAACACGACGCCACACGGACACGGGCTGCTAATCTACCGCGGTGCTTTTCCGCCAAACACATGTCCTTCAGCGCTAGAAGCGCATGTGGCTGGCAATGGGTTTGCTCCGCAGTGGCGCTACACCATGTACTCGACGACGCACTACCACTCGACGACACATGAGTTTCTGTGCGTGTTTGCGGGGCGGGCGCGGCTGCTGTTTGGCGGCGAGGCGAATCCGGGGAAGCTGGAGGCTGAGGTGAGGGCGGGCGACGCGGTACTGGTGCCGGCGGGGGTGGGGCATCGATTGGTCGAGGATGTCGATGGCGGGTTTACCATGGTGGGGAGTTATCCGGAGGGGTGCAGTTGGGATATGTGTTATGGGAGGAAGGGGGAAGAGGAAAAGACCGAGGCGGCAGGAAAGGTGGCGTGGGTGAAGAGCGATCCGTTGTATGGCGAGGACGGACCGGCTGTGTGGGACAAGGAGCGGCTGGACAGGTTTTGCGGGGAGAAGAGGGGGTTGTGAGGGATGTGAGGTGTGGCTGTTGATGGTCATGGTGATTTTGTTCATAATACGTACATACATACATCTAATCGTACAAATGCCACGGTCCTTCTATATGGTATAGTACAGACAAAGAGCCTCCAACGCCCGGGGCAACATGCTACGTGTGTCATGTCATGAAATCATAGGTCGTGTCGGTTTAAGCATTCCCAAGGCCCGGGACCCTAGTTCCTGCCTTCTTGGCCCGCATCGGCGACATGCTCGGCCTTTTCGTGTATCGTTTCGAGGATTTCCTTGGGCAGCGTGTCTTTTGCACGCATTCCGTTGCCGCCAGCAGCCATCTCTTGCTCGAGCTTCTCCTCGATGCGCTCTTCCTTTGACTTGATGGCGCCTTCGACCTGGCCGACTGCGCGCTCAATTTCCACCTCCATGTCGGGCAGGTTGAAATGCTCGGCGATGAGCTTGCCGTTCCAGCGCTGCAAGACCATGACGTCTTCGGTTTCGTTGTTGGTCTGCTGGTGGACGACGGCGGCCACCTCGTTGGCCTGCTGCGGCGTGGGGCGGGGAGCGGCGCGGGACAGGGCGCGGGTGGGGTACATGAGGCCGGCCGTGTAGAGCTCATCGAGGGTGCACGAGGGGTTTGGCTTGGGCAGGTTGTGTCTGAGGAGGAACTCGAGGTGCTTGGAGCCGCCCAGGGCTTTCCAGTGCGACCAGGCCCTGTAGAGGACGTAGAAAAAGGGCAGGTTGGGAATGACGGGCACCAGCATGAAGGGGGCGGTAAAGGGCATGATGACGACGCTCCAGATGAGCTTGGTGCGGTGCATGTTCTGCTTCTCCTTGGCCAGCCTGTGCAGCAGCGTGGGCACGCGGTCCTGGGGCAGGTATCGCCCGGGGAACAGGACCTCATAGTGTGCGGTGCCGGTGCGGATCTCGTGCTTGCGGCGGGCGGTGAGCGGGGGGATGGTCTTGAGGCCCCATTCCTCGTAGGGGATGCGCTTCAGGGCGTGGTTGCCGTAGAAGGTGACCTTTCTCTTCCAGTCCCAGATGGCCTTTGGGTCCTTTTCCCAGGCGACCCACGTCTCGCTGGCCTTGATGGTGATTTTGTCGTAGAGCGAGCGGTCACGGGGGGCCTTTTCGTGCAGCGTCTCGCAGTAGATGAGGGAGCGGCGGGTGGAGATGGGCAGCAGGAAGAGACGCATGGTGGGGGAGGCGGGGGATTAGGTAAGCCGGCGCAGGGCGTGCGTGTATGGCGCAGGAGTCAGGTCGAAGGAGCGAGGAACATGGCGGGAGGGCGGGCGCGGGTCGCGTTGGGGGAGAAGGCGGTCGTGGTGGTGGCAGCCAAAGGGGGCTGTGCAGGGCCAAAAAGAAGCAGAAGAATGACGCTGCTCGGATGAAATCACAGCAGCACTAGTGCAGGGAAAAAAACAGGTGGAGTGGAATGGGCAGACGGTGCTAGCACTGGCACTAATGCTGACAATGGCTGCTCGGCGGGCGCATGGGGCCGGGGGGGCATTGCTGCATCGACACAAGGCTCGCTACCATGACCTCAGCCGGCGGCGGTAGTGATAGTGATAGCAGCAGCGATAGCGCAAGGCGATCGACGACCAAGCAATCTCCCGTTCCTGTGCCGGCCAAGGGAAAAAGGCCAACCGCGCCTGGGAACGGGCCTCGCCACGCTCCGCTCCCTCTGGCCGCCAGCGTCCCAACGCCCAACACACACGCACTCTCTCTCTCATTCGCACACGCACACGCACACGCACACATCCGCCATCGAATCCTCCTCTCTGCCACCACCGCCAGCTTACCCCGTCGCCCGTTCGTCCCTGCTTCCCCGGACTCTCGCCCTGCGCGCCCGCCGCCCGCCGCCCCCGACACTGCGACTACGACTACGACTACGACTCCCACTCCCACTACGACTATCACCACCACCCCCGTCGGACCATGCTGTGTGGGCGCGTCGTCTACTTTGCTCCCACGTAATCGCCGTCATCGTTGCTGCTGCCGGGCTGTGCTGGGCGGCCCTGCCACTGCCACTGTCGCCGTTGCGTTGGCGCGCCAAGCTATTCCTCCCCCCTCGAATCTTGCTTGGGCCCAGCATCTGACATCAACGACGGCCGCCTGGAGAAGGCTCCCGCTGGTGCGACGAGGAAGCCCCTCGCTCCTCATCTCCCGACAAGCATGAACCGCTCGTCCATGGATGACTGCCCAAAGTCTGACCATGGCATTGAGTCCCTCGCCAGCAATGGCGCCTCCCACCACGCTCGCCCAGACGCGGCGCCCCAGGGGACCTCGCTCCAAGCCTCGCCCTCGCCCTCGCCCTCGCCCGCCGTTGGCTCGACATTGCCCTTGACCTCAGCCTCGCCCCATGCCGCCAGACTGCTCCCGTCTCCCATCCCCCCTCCCTCGTCGTCGTCGACGCTGCACTCGCACCCGCACCCGCACCCGCGCCCCCAGTCCAGAGTCAGCGCCGTGTCGGCCTTCTCCAAGGACACGACGACGCCCGACAGCGCCACGGTCCGCAAGAGCCAGTCGCACTCCATCTCCAGCACGCCGCGCACCCTGGCGTCCTCCAACCGCAGCCTGACGGCCAGCGCCGACAACCGGGAGAGGCAGCGCGCCGTCCGCTCTCTCCCTCCCTGGGTCCAGTCTCCCGACGACGACGACGACGATGCCGACGCCACCTCGTTCCTCCTGCCCCGGACCCCCACCACGGTCCGCCATGCCAACCACAACTTTTGCCCCACGCCAAAGTCCAATGTCCCCGGCCGCAAGTTCGACCACGTCCGCGAGGGCGCGCCCGTCACGCTCGCCACGCCCGTCAGCGACACGGCCCCCAAGTGGAAGCACTTCACCCACGCCTCCAATCTCGACCGCCCCATTTCGTCGCGCGGCCAGATTGTCGACGACGACTGGCTCAAGGAGAACATGCCCGACCTCGAGCAGAAATGGGAGCCCATTGGCGAGCGCCGCGTCGAGGAGCCCATCAAGGGCTTCTGGCTCTTGAATTCGGAGAAGCGCAAGCGCAAGCTCATGCGTTTCCACAACACAATCATGAACCACCCCATGGTCCCGGCCTTGGTCCGTGCCATTGTTCTCATCTTCTCCATCCTCGCCCTCTCCCTCGCCAGCTCCATCTACCGCCATTCCGATAACAACGGCTGCAGAAACAACTCGTCGACGTGGATGGCCATATTCGTCGACATTGTCGCCATCTTGTACACAATCTACATCACCTATGACGAGTACACGTCAAAACCCCTTGGCTTGCGCTCTCACAATGCCAAGATGTCCCTGATCTTCCTCGATCTAGCCTTCATCGTCTTCGAGTCAGCCAACCTTAGTCTAGCGTTTCAGGCTCTGACAGATGACAAGTGGGCATGCGTCGAATCCGACAGATCAAACACCTGTCCCTACAGACAGAGCATTTGTGAGCGCCAAAAGGGTTTGACGGCCACGCTGTTCATTGCCCTCCTCGCATGGATAGCCACCTTTGCCATCAGTACTCTGAGGTATCTAGCGCCCCCTTCCCCCCCTGCATAATCATCATCCTCGTCGCTAATAATCTCACCAGGTTAATCCACCGCGTGGCGAGGTAGTACCTTGACCATCCATGCCTTCTATTCTATACATTCCCTCGCCCTGTATCATACTAGACCAGTCCTCATATTGACTGATGTTGCTTTCCCGTGCATAGTACAAACGCCGACGACACCCTCTTACATGCATCAACCTCGTCACCCAAACGGCGGCCTGCCGCACGTTCGCAGTCGCTGCGTTTTCCTAGTCGAATCCGTTCCAGTACTCCTTCCATCAAGTCGTTTCGCTCTTGACTTTTATCCCTTCATCGTTGATCCATCCATCCATCAGTATAGCATAGCTATGGCGTTTTCTTACGGACTCCGGCATTGGTGAGGTTTTCCTTTTGCCTTGGTTTTTACTTTGTCTTGTTTCCTTTCTAATCCCTACTTCGGCCCAATCTCAAATTGCACAACCCTGTTTCCATGGTTTTTATTGGATAGGAGAGACGCAAGGTGTGTTTGGGTCTTGTTTCGTTGTCACTTTTTTTTTGCCTTGTCATCTCATCTCCTTGTTGGCATGCGACACGGCCTGTCAGTTGAGGCAGATAGATTAGTTGTAAAGCATGTGGAAAGGTGGATTACCACAAATGAGGATGGAATCCCCTTGGATGTATAGCACAGTTTGAATCCTCGAGAAAAAAAACTACAGAACATGTCAGATAGCCAGAATGGATGACACTATTTGTTTGTTTACTTCGCACTGTTTCTTCCCCCTTTTTTCTTTCCTACGTACAACTATAACCCCCGTCAACAGGCATGCCCACCCCAGTCATCCATCCGGCGTCTTCACTAGCTAGAAACACGGCTGCCCTGGCAATATCCTGGGATGTTCCCAGCCCCTTGAGCGGATGTCGCAATTCCAATGCGCTCTTGATCTCTTGAGCCTCTGGCTGCAGCAATTCTGCGATAATCGCCGTGGCCGTGTAACCCGGACACAGGGCGTTGACATGAATGCGATGCGGTGCGCAGTCCAAGGCGGCGGTTTTGGTCAGTCCCATGACGGCATGCTTGGACGTGACGTAGCCAGCTATAACAAGGACATGGTCAGCGTCTAACTATTCTGTTTCATTCTCGCGAGGAGGGGGGTTATCGTTTGATAAAGAGACGGAGAAGAAGAAGAAGAAGAAGAAGAAAAGAAATAGAAAAAACTTACACATATTCTGCGCACTCCGGAACCCATACACACTCGCCACATTGATAACCCAGCCTCGATCGCCACTCGGACCAGGCTCCTGCGTCACCATCTGCTTGGTCGCATACTTGAGGCCCAGAAACACACCCCGCACATTCACATCCATCGACTTCTGGAACGCCGCCTCGTCGAATTCCCACACGGGGCGCGGGCCATGCTCGCTCGTCTCAGTGCTGATCCCGGCATTGTTCACCATGATGTCGAGTCTGCCGTACTCGCTAACGGCAGCTTGAATCAGCGCCTCAACGTCGGCTGTGCTGCTCGTGTCGCATTTCACGAAGATGGCTTTGGCGCCTAGCTTGCGGGCTTCGTCGACGGTGGTGGTTTGCGGGGATGAGTCTGTCGCGTATTCTGGACGAGCCGTTTCGCGCAGGTCGGAGCATACGAGGGAGGCGCCTTCGGATGCGAAGGCGAGAGCTGTTGCTCGCCCGATGCCGGACGAGGAGCCGGTTATCACGGCGATTTTGTTGGTGAGGCGGCCGGGCATGCTGGGAAGAATCGCGTGGTTTCAATTTCCCTGTGTGTGTTTTTTTCTTCTTCTTCTTCGAGTGGAATTGGGGAGGGAAGAGGGATTTGGGTTGATCGTGGGAAAGAAAGGTGAACTACAGAAGAAAAGAAATATAGCCTACAACCGCCGTTCAAGCCCCATTGGCAACGCAAGCGGGCTATGCTATATCGATCCAAGCAACTCAACCAGGCTAGTCCTCATATCCCCTATCTCGCAGTGAGGGGAAGCCGAGCTATATCCTCGGCCGTTTGAGTCATTTGGTCTGGCGCCAAACTGACTGTCCATTGTAGAGTCGAGAAATTCCTTCTTCTTCTTCTTCTTCTTCTTCTTCTTCTTCTTCTGCTGCTGCTGCTGCTGTGGGCTAAGCCCATACCATGACGTACGCCCTGACGCTCGCATTCCTCATTGTGCTCTCTTTGCGAGACCTCGACGTACGTTTTGTAACACTATTGGTGCAGGGATATCCGCATGTGACCCTGGCCGCATTACACATGTATGGATGGGTTCTGCTGTTCGAAAAACGAACAATACATGGACAAGCTTTTGCTACTTAGCAGTGCGGTGCCATGCATGCATGCATGCATGTCTCAAACGGGAAAATGCTAAGTTTGTGTAGGACGGTTGCTGGAGTTTCCTGGACATCAACGCACCGAGGAACCATGTGTAGTTGCGACAGAAGTTCGAGGTGTATATAGCATTCGGACCGAATTGGCCCTCTTAGCATAATTGGCGCACAGGGGGTAAAGTTTCTTTCCGCGGCTTTAGTTAGACTGCGCGCTTCTTTTAGTAAGGCGCTAGTATCAGTTAAGAAATCGCGTACTATATAGTATAGTATATGTAAAACCTTATTAATACTAAAAAATACTTTTAGTATAGTATTAAAATATAATAACGTATTCCACCACCGAGAGTGCCACCCCACCGAGTGTGCCACTTTTTCTTGGCATCGCGAACATCACATATGAAAACTTGAATTACTCTACACTAGCTATAGATGCTTCGTACGACTCACTTGCATCTAACATAGAATCTTCTTCTACATCTTTTTGGCACGTACGGGCGTTATGGCCCACTCTCCCACAGATTCCACAGTGCCGTTGACCTGGCTGGGCCTTTTCTTGACTACCCCCACCACGCGCTTTCTTTGATATTATACGACTAGTAGAAGCACTTTCAGCTGCCTGCGATGCTCCTGCACCAAATTCTAGTGTCCCGCCTGTCTGAATCCGCTTTCTTTTACGCCCTCGGCGCTTTGTTACCTCTGCTAGTTGCTCTTCAAGCTCTCGTACGCGGGCCTTCATAAGCACATTCTCATGTAGCATCTCCTCAGCCCCTTTAATAAGCTTTGAAAAGCCTTCTTGTGCAGTAGTTGGTGACCGTACGAACGAGTCTCTCACAAGCTTCGACTGCGACCCAAATTCGTACGAATTGCTTGGTGTTTTAGACTGCCAGGGTGTTTCTAGTGGAGCTTCTTGTGGTGGAGTATGAAGGCGTACGTCAAGACGATCAATGACTCTCTGCGCGTTGATAGGGACTAGCCCTGCTGCCTCAAGGCTTTCTTGCAGTTATCGGACGTAAATACGTCGCGAAACGCGTCTCGAAGGGCTGGCAGAAGCGTTCTTTGTCAATATGC